TTGATTCCGACTTGTTAATTTCATCCATTATAAATATAGGTTGATGATTCTTGAATTTCAATTTCAAGCTCCCCCTGAGCTGTAGATCCATATATCCAAGCGTCAACTAGATATCTCCACTGAGCTGTCTCAACAGGTATGTCAAACTCAATAGAAAATTGAACATATTTCCCTTCTTCAGACTGCCTTCTCCTTAATCTTTACTGATTGAGTAAACGATACCATCATTCACTCAGATATTTGTGCCTGAAATTGGAAATTAGGCTTAACATCTGCCATGGATTGGTAGCTTCACTAACCTATAGCATAGACACCATATCGTTTTCATCTTTGAGTCTCCACTTGGAACAGTGTGTGCCACTTGTAGGTGTACAATCTATATCAAGCCTTTTCTGAAAGTAGAAGTAGTGACATGTAGTATTTCTGACTTAACGTTCTTCAGTGGATCTCCCCACTCATGTCAGGATAAAATCCAAAGTTCTTGCCAAGACTTTGTCATACAACCCTTGTCTTACTTCTATTGCCTCCTGCTTATAGCTACACCTCCAAAAGCAACTAAGCTTCAGTAGAGTCCAACTACTTGTTATTCTCAAAGTATGATCAGCTCTCAAAATTTCACATCTCTCTGGCTGGGCGTGGTGGCTCACACCAGTAATTCCATCGCTTTGGGAGGCCAAGATGGGTGAATCATTTGAGGTGAGGAGTTCAACACCAGCCTGGTCAACATAGTGAAACCCTGTTTCCAATAAAAATACAAAAATAAGCTGGGCATGGTGGCATGTGCCTGTAGTCCCAGCTACTCGGGGGACGCTGAGGCAAGAGAATCACTTGAACCTGGGAGGTGGAGGTTGCAGTGAGCTGAGATTGTGCCTGCACTCCAGCCGGCGTGACAGAGCAAGACTCCATCACATCTTCTCAAATGTTTTCTCTTTGAGTTATCCCTCATGTCTTCACCAAAGTCTAGTTATTCCTCAAAATTTAGCTCAGCTATTACATTCTTTAGGAACCTCTGTAGCTTCTGTAACATTCTGTGCAAACCTCTGTGAACTCATCACCATGTTACAATTACTTGCTCATTTATCCATCTCCCCCACTAGTCTATGAACATAACAAGAATCAGGACTGTCTTTCATCTTTGCACCACTCCAGGTAGTTGGCACCTGATAGTTGAAGATTACTTGTTGAAGAGATTAGTAAGTTTTGAGAACTTCATAAAAGAAGCTTTCTTAATTTCCTTTTTAAAAACAATGGTAAAATGTCAGTACCACTAGGGGGCACAGACTAGTAACAGAATTTTCCGGTACACTAGCTTGAAGGAGATGTTTGCTTTCTGTGGCAACCTCTTCACATAGTTTCTAAATATATGGATCTTAAAAGGTTCAAATGACTCTATTCAGATTATTCCCAGAAAGACATGTTTAAATAGTTGGCTAAAAGATAGAGAGTAGTGCTGACATATTAACATGTCGGAAAAAAACGACATGGTATGGCCAAATAGAATTAACCGGGTTTTATAAATAAAGCTGAGAATAGCATTAAGAAAAAGATCAAAATGTAAATACAGTTTCAAGAAATTGATACTATGAGACTTGGGACTATTTTTTAAATTTCAACACAGAAGAGTACCTATGCAGGGGAACTCCTACTTCCACAGGAAAAGTGAACAGAAATATTGAAGCTATTTTTGTGTTTGGAATAAAACCTCAAATCCTCCTCCAAGATAACCAATAGAAACTTTCCAGTGCTTTTCATTTGTAACAAAAAACCATTAAGATTATTAATACACAATAATAGGCTAAGTATTTTTTATTCAAAAGCTGATATAGATTAGTAGTTAAAAATCTAGTTTTGGTTGTGTTTTTGCCTTGCCTCAGCTACTTTTTAGTTTTAAAAAAATTAACTTGTCTACACCTCAGTTTCTCCGCCTGTAAATTGGATATGATTGTAGTGCTTACTTATGAAACTATTGTCACAATTGATTTTTTTTTTTTTTTTTGAGATAGAGTCTCATACTCTGTTACCCAGGCTAGAGTACAGTGGCACCATCTTGGCTCACTACAACTTCTACCTCCCAGGTTCAAGCGATTCTCATGCCTCAGCCTCCTGAGTAGCTGGGATTACAGGCACCTGCCACCACACCCAGCTAATTTTTGTATTTTTTAGTAGAGATGGTGTTTCACTCTGTTGGCCAGACTGGTCTTGAACTTCTGATCTCAAGTGATCCTCCCACTTCGGCCTCCCAAAGTGCTGGGATTACAGGCATGAGCTACCACACCTGGCCTGAAATAATTACTGTAAACCACAGTGCCTAACACATACAAAACACATGATAAGTATTTGCTATTATTTTGCCTCAACAATTGTGGTCAGCACAATATTTCAGTAATTCCTAGAAACGTTAGTTTTGTTAGCTGCTGGAATAAAAATGGTGAGAACTTGTTGAGTTCTGCACTATTTCTCTACCAGCCTTTCCTTACAGCCACACTCATTCACATCTGCTTCCTTTCTGCATCCCTGAGGCAAAGGCTGTTCTGAGGAACAATGTCCCATTTGCTGTGTGAGGTAGGCCTGGGACTCTTACTGTGTTATCACTCTCATGCAGTCTGGTGAGGCGCATAGGATCTCTGATATTGTCCTGGATTCTCTGATTAATTTCTGCTTGCTGAAGAAACAGCGTGAAAAACTTGTATGATATCTCTTAGAGATAAGAATTGTTGATAACTGATCAAAACAAATGGTATATTATGCTGATACATTTAAAATAATAGTAGGAGATAAATATGTTTACTGAACCAATGATTATGATATCTATGAAATGCAATATAGCTGCTATGCCTATTGGTTTGGTTACGGCCTGATTGGAAGGAAATAAAAGCTAAGGAGAAGGGTGGTGTAGCTGAAAGGGACTTATATTCAGGAGTCTGGAGACTTCAGTTCTACCTCTACACTTACAAGGCAAATTGCTGAGCCCTGTGCACATCATTAAACAGCAGCCAATCATGAATTTCCATTTCTCCATTAGTGCATTTTCTTTTTGTTTGTTATTTTCTACTTTTTTAGTTTTATATTTGCCCCTTCATTATTTTCCCAAGCAGACTCATGTCACATGCATTTCCTTTTTATTATAGGGTTTAAGAATTCTATTTATCATTCCCTGTCTGATTAGCCCAGGAATTTCACACTGGATCAAAATGCATCCATATCACTAAAGAGTGACACTTCTATCACTCACTAGTTGATCAGACTCATGAACATGACTTGGTAGGGGCATATCTTGTAGTAGGAGATTGGGGCAAATGAGAAAATGGGTAAGCATGAAGAAGAAGGAAAGTGGGAGAGTAATGGGTCATTGACGCTTTGTGAAACTGGTCCAGATCCAGTTATTCTGGGCCTCTTATGGGCATTGAAAGCCTTTTTTTGTGCATCTCTAGCTCATGTATAGAATTTTAAATATTATTATTTCAGAGTACCTTTCAGAAGGATAATACAATGGAATAGAACATACACTGAGGCCAGGAGCTCACGCCTGCAATCCCAGCACTTTGAGAGGCTGAGGTGGAAGAATTGCTTGAGTTCAGGAGTTTGAGACCAGCCTGAGCAACACAGCAACACCCCATCTCCAAAAAAGAAAAAGAAACACATTGAAACAAAATATCTCTAGAAACTCTGTTCAGTTGAAACCATATCCATGTAGACTTCAGAAAATGTTTCCAAGGTCATAAATTTCAGGCAAGCATCTTAAGAGAATGAATGAGTAAAAGCAAACACATCTCAAAAGATGGGGAGGGCCAATCAACTCACATACTTTACACTAGCAGTTAACATTTGCCTTTACCTCTACCTCTTCATAATGCTCTAATGTAATTATAATGCATAGAATATACACTGTTGTTTTACTCACTGCTCAGTATACCTATCTTCTTTTCTTATATTTGAATTTTAATATTTCAGCAAAATGAACTAATAAAAGGCAGTTTCCTAGCAACATGTGTATTCAAAGGAACAACAACAAAGCTTAATCACAAACACTTTATTTTCTCCAAAGTTAATTCCTGTCTTTTGAGGGAAGTTAGCAGGTAGCAAATAAAGCAAGGTGCAAACAGAGACTCTTGTAGGAGAGGCTGGCACAGCCTCACTTGGCTTTTTCTTCCTAGGCATTCAAGGGTAGGATGGTTAGAGTTAAGCCAGTCTTTTCCAGTGGTTGCAGTCAGAGAGATTGATACAAAACCCCAGAACCGTGTGCTCTTTTATCCATCCTTTGCTGGAGATGCAGATTGATGGGTGGAAGGAACAGCGAACTAGGAAGCCAGGTTGTTGGATTCCTAGTAACTCTCATACACTACCCGCGAAAACTTGAGCGGGTCCTCTTTTCCTGGGCTGTGTATCCAAACGGCGGTTACTTTAGAAGACAAAAGTGAAAGGTCCTTCCCAGCAGCTCAAAACCGCTACCAGAAACCGGTTTCTTTCTTTCTTTTCTTCTTCTCCTTCTTCTTTTGCCTCCTCCTCCTCCTCCTCCTCCTTCTCCTTTTCTTCTTCTTCTTCTTCTTCTTCTTTCTTCCTCTTCTTCTTCTTTTTCTTCTTAATTAAGCTTAAATGGCATTTGCTTAATCAATAACACAGTTTCACTAGAATTATTGCTGCACCCCAGAAAAGCATCACTCAGAAATTAAGCAGCTGGCTGTCTTCCAGGGAAACGTGTCCCTGTGTCCTGCCTTCCTGAGACTTCTTGCCTGCATGCGGGGCCCAGCGGCGCCAGAGAAATGGAAGTGACTTTACCTACCCAGCGAAAGTAGAAGTCTGTAACAAGGAAAACAGCTAAGTTAAGAGGAAGTGGTTTTCATTTTACTGCTTGCAGAAAGGCCAAGATTTTGACGTTTAAAGCGGGCACACGAGTCATTTTAAGTCTCTAGATCTTTCACCCTGAAAGTCCCTGCACAGAAACTCCATAGGGAGTCTAAATATAGCAATAGCACCCCCCCTCCCGCCCCCTCCGCCTTCAGTCAGGGTCCCGCGCAGCTCTAGGATTGGAGAGCTTACTCCAGGGCGCTCTCTGCATCTGCCTCGAATAGCACCGCACGGAGCAACCTCTCTCGCACCTCCACAGTGCGTGGGTGTGAAGTGTATTAGGGGAAAGCTAGAGTGACTCTGGGTGCTGGTGATCGGCTCACAGTCACGTGGCGTCGCCGCCAGCTGCAGAGAGCTCCCAGCTAGCTTCTGCTGCCCAGAGGCTTGGGGGAAAGGAGGGAGGGCTTGCTCCTGCTGGTGACCAAGAGCAGGCAAGAGGGCTTCACACAAATAATAGTGATAATAAAGAGTAAAAGCAAAGCATTTAAATGGAGTTATTGCAGGAGACAAAAATCAGCTGCTGCGGGCGTGGGTGTGTGTACAGGGTGGAGGGGAATTGGGAAAGTATTTATCTCGGAGGGGAGGAGACGGCTGCAAGAAGACTTTTGCCTTAGCATTGTTTTAGCCTTAGGAAAGGAAGAGGCCCGAAGGAATCCACCTTGCAACTATCTGCTGTGTCTTTGTGGTGGAAGCTTAGTTTTCCCTTCAGTTTAATTTGATGATTGTTTTCGTTCATATTCAGGGAAGAGCCACTCTGTTGGAAGAAGTCCCCGAGCCTGGCATCCTTCAGTTTTCCCTATGCTGAATGTGAGGTTTAAACTGCTTTTTCTTTGTAATATACTGTTTCTGAAGGCCAGAGGCCGCGGCCAGTGGCACCGTGGCCTCTCTCTCCGCCAAGGGTGCCTGGGCTTTGGACCACCCGGGTGCCAGAGGTGGTGGAAGACCCAGTCAGTTGTTCCTTGCAACAGGTCTCTAAGCTTGTAAGTTACAACATAAGGTGGGTGGGGTCGGAACCCCAAAAAGCTGGCGTCCGGGACACCCCACCCTCAGGTTTTCTTTACCAGACACTGGGGTCCTCGCTGCCGCTGCCGAACTTCTCAATCATATGACTTTATTGGACTTAAATGGAAATTTCTTGACGGAGGGAACCGGGTTTGTTCTCCCAGGCTTCGCGCCGCAGTCAAACAGAGCCCCGGGGCAGCTCGCTCACAGCGGAGGAGCAACTTTGGAGTTTTACGCCCTTTCCACACCTCACCCATGGACTGGAAAGGATGTTCAGTTACTCGCGGGCTTGTTGTCTGATACTGGGATGGAAAGTCACAGTCCGCAGGCTGGAGTGAGACGCGGGAAGATGCCTGGTCCTTGCCTCGCGGACTCGGCAGCCGCGTCCTTCGAGTCTGTCCACTGAATTGCGGAGGGCTCGCCCGTGTGCGAGGACCCGAGTGCCACTGCCTGGAGCGTTACCTTGCGCTCCAGCCTCCAGGCTAGCTAATACCTGGAGGGCAGGGCAGGGCTGTTCCCGCTCTCACCCCTTGCGGAAGGATGGCAGGATCCGGCGCAGCGACGTAGCAGCGGGAGAGCACAGCGACCTGCGTCTCCAGTTTCTCCTCAGGACACAAGGCTGACTTCACCTTCCGGACAGCTGCAAAGCCCCTGCCACAACCAAACCAAACTCGCGCCTCGGAGAGGGGCTTCTGGAGTCGGTCACTGCAAGGCGTGGGGAGTGGAGAGAGGGAAGAAAGGGGAAGCCTGGGGCTGGGTGTGCGCGCGTGGGAGCGCGCCTCGGAGCGCCCCGCACTCCCCCACTCCGTCCCCGGGGGCACTTTGGGAAGGAGGGAGTGGTAGTCGCGGGAATGAGGGAGAAAGAGAAACCCTCTCAAACTGACGCCCCAAACAGGTCCGGATTTAGAATTCGAAGCTAAAGGCTGTTAGAAATCGGGACTCCTCGGCCTCCTCTGCAGCCCCTCCTTTCCCGCCCCGAAGCCGGGGTGGTTTGCTGGCTGCCTGCTTCCCCGCCCCCGGCTCACAGGTCTCTGGCTGGCGGGCGCCCCGTCGGCCGCCGGCTTCCTCCTTGAAACCCGCCGGCGCACATGAGGCCGCTGCCCCCGCCGCAGGCGCTGGCGGCCCCCTCGCGGTGCCCGTGGTGATGCCATGCCCCGCCACCACGCGGGAGGAGAGGAGGGCGGCGCCGCCGGGCTCTGGGTGAAGAGCGGCGCAGCGGCGGCGGCGGCGGGCGGGGGGCGCTTGGGCAGCGGCATGAAGGATGTGGAGTCGGGCCGGGGCAGGGTGCTGCTGAACTCGGCAGCCGCCAGGGGCGACGGCCTGCTGCTGCTGGGCACCCGCGCGGCCACGCTCGGTGGCGGCGGCGGTGGCCTGAGGGAGAGCCGCCGGGGCAAGCAGGGGGCCCGGATGAGCCTGCTGGGGAAGCCGCTCTCTTACACGAGTAGCCAGAGCTGCCGGCGCAACGTCAAGTACCGGCGGGTGCAGAACTACCTGTACAACGTGCTGGAGAGACCCCGCGGCTGGGCGTTCATCTACCACGCTTTCGTGTGAGTACCCGCGCCCCCTGCTATGCCCGCTCCAGGGGACCACTGTCCCTGGCCCCCTGGGGCGTGCTCCGCGCTCGCGCCCTTGGGCCGCGCGCGTGCACACGTGGTGGCTTTTATTTCTTCGCACGTGTTCGTGGTCTTCCTTCTGGAGCCTCTCCCTTCCCCCAGCCCCACTTCTCCCACCTCTACAGCTTGAACCATTTCCCCGAGGACACCCAATGAACTGCCCGGTAGCTTCAGGCTCCCGGGGCGGGAGCCAGGCAGACGCGGGACTTAGGCTGCGCGGATAATTGGGAGCAATTAGGTCCCAAGATACGTAAACTTCAACCGAACGGGGCGCCCGGGAGCTAGGGAATGCAAAGGGAGGACAGGCGCCTGTGTGAGGCTTGAGAGTACATTGGGGAGGTTAGGAGGTGATGACTGGGTAGGACCGGGAGGAGTGAGGTGGTACCGAGGGCTAGGTCCTCAGTCCTAGGGGCGGAATAGGGGAAGCTGCTACTTGGTGGAGAGAGCTGCTAGGTTTTAAGTGCGCCCGGAAACACGCCTCGCCACCACCCAGCCACCACCAACGGAAAATCTGTCAGTGCATGTAGCCCTTCCTGCCACGGAGAAGGTGGCCAAGGTCTAGAGGAGGCCAGCAGGCCAGGCGAAGCAAGGCTCCCGCGCTGCAGCGGGTAGGGAGGCAGCGGGGAACCTGGGGCGCAGGAACGCGGGCAGAGGTGCGATAGCAGAAGCGCAAATAGGTCGCCTCGGAGAGAGATCAGGCAGTGGATTAAGTCCCCATTTGTGGCGCGGAGTCAAAGTGTGTGTGTGTGTGTGTGTGTGTGTTTTCAGTAAGCCTTCTCCATCTAGCAGAGAATGCTTAATGAGAAAATGATTGGAAGCAAATGTTTATTTTTCCCTTAGGCATTTAAAACCTTTCAGTGGCTTTAAAGTTTACTACTGTTTTTCCCACAAAGTCCATTCATTCAGTCTCCTATTAGAGTCACGTTTATCTGGGCATTTTAAGGTTGTTTTTATAATGTTACCTCATGTCTAATTCTTTTTTTCTTCCTTTTCTCCTTTTGCTTCCTCTCTTTTTAGTATCATTATTTCTGCTTCTTTTTTGTTAAGATGAAATATAAAGACATCAACCTTAGAAGACCAGTAGAGAAAGTTGCAGATACTCGCTGATACATTCCTTGTTTCCTAGTAAAATAAGTCTTGAGCACACGGACTAAGTTTCTTTTAGAGATAAGTTGTGTCATCCGTACATAACTCTCTCCGGGGGTGTAGAATTAGCATCAACACCAGAAACGTGTTTTGAAATAACGTGGAAGAAGGGCTGGTTTTGTAACTAGGTGAACCTGGAATTCGACCACATAGGAGTCAGGAAATTGGTGGAGTCTACAATCTGTGGGTCTCTGGTATCTGGAAAATTTTACAGTTTCTGATTGATGTGAACATGTAGCATTAGGCGGAATATTCCAGCCAACTTTCCGTTTTACAGTGCACACAAGGAGAACGGTTGTGTTGCATCAGTATTACATCAAGAAGTATAACTTTTATGTAAGATTCACATTTATTTAAATGTGGTTAGGATAATGATAGAGAAATGCTACTGACACTTTTCATATTAATCTCCTCTGAACTGATATATAATTAAACATATTACTTAATAAGCCTGGTTAATTATTTTGACCTGTCAGAATATACTGAAATAATTTAGCAATTATGATACTCAATTTGGTAGCAAATATGTACTGTATAGATTATGATTTTTTCTTTACAACTGTATGCTCAAAATATGTATGGTTTTGAATTTTAAGTATGATACCATTTCTAGCCTTTCATTTTTGGTATATTATGCATTGTATATTCAGACAGAGTTAAAGAAAGCCTTGGTTGGTGCACATACTTTGCATCTCCTAACTTGTTCTTGAACATCAATGAGAACTTGCAACGCAACATTTTCTTTTCATGTGTTGGTGTTAACAGGTTTGTATGGGCTTACAGAATTTTAAAACATTGATAAATTATTTTTCCAAAGGTTCAAGGTTGTATACTTCTCTATCCACCAAGCTTTATCAGTCTAGCAGTATCTTTAGTGGTAGATAGGAAATAAATTACGTACTTAATAGATGTAGCTTGTGTGAAGTTTTGCATTATATATTTTAGAGTCTGAAACTGTAATGCCTCAGCAATTAGATAGGGGTGCTAGATCCACATTAGCACAAAGAGGGAATGGATAGTATCATCTTCTGGGAGGATTGTGCACAACTAAGCAGACCCTGGGGAAAGAGGCCATCTTTGGCAGTTGCTGCTTGTGATTTTAAATGAGCTTTAGAATAGCCAGACTTTACGCATTACATTCATTTATCGAAGTTGCTTTATGCTGTAAGTTTAACTAGACCCCAAGAAAATAATTTCAAGAGAGGTGTAATTAACTAATTCCTTGCCAGTCTGGGAATCCCCAAATCTTACTTTAATAACAGTTTTTGTAGCATATTAAGGTTCTTGCCAAGAACAAGTGCACTGTGATTAATGAGGTACTTCAGGGATGAATTTACTTGGTCGACCAGTGTTTTCACTGCCAAGAAACAAGAAAAGCATGTTTAAAGTTATGCTTGAGGTAAATATAAATTTCTATTATTTATGCAAAAATAATTATTATAATGGTATTTTAGGGGTATAACATGTCTTTTCAAGAGTACATATCCTAGCCTATTGATAGGATGGCTGGACAGAGCAAGGGATGACCTACTTCAAATACTTTCCCTTAAACTTTTTAAATTAGTGGGGATTAGGAGATCCTTGCCCTTACCATTCTTTAGGATTTACCTGACAGCCATATTTCCTGTCTTCAACTTTTCTTCATTTTACTAGTGTGCTGTTCAAACATGAGGTGACTCGTTGCCTTGAATGTTGTTTGTCCCTTTTTAATTCCTCCTTGTTTAGGGAAAATTTTGAAGAATAATGAGGATAGTAGAGGAACACAGGATGGGGCTTCGTATATAAATTTGCACTGATGCAGCAAATGTGGTTCTGAGAAATTACATGGGAAACGGTGTTGTAGATACATGTAATTGATCACTTTGCCTAATGTATCTTTGTCTGACTTAATGCTATGGGTGCAAATTTATAGATATTAAACAAGGAGACAAGAAGAAGTCACCCAAGCTAGGAGCTCTGAAGTCATCCTTTTTCTCATAGTTACTCCCTCTGGTCAAGCAAATGGTCATTAAATACTGTTTGTTTACTTTATAGGTATTTTTCAAATACATTCCCTTTTCTTCTTTACTACTTCTATTCCATTCTGTTTCTTACCTCTCCATTGGATGGTTTGTAATATTCTCCTGCCTGATCGTCTGGCTTCTGTTCTTAGCTTTCTCTCTGCTCTAACATCATAATATTGTTCGTAAAATGGAAACCCTATCATATCATCCCCTTGCCTAAAATATTTCCATGACTCTCATCACCTACTCCTTCATCTATTTATCCATCTACAAGTATTGGAGTGTGTAATATGTGCTAATTCCCAAATTAACAAGGCAAAGGCCTCCACTCTGGAGGAAAGAAAAGACTCCAGCAAAGGACTACTATAAGCCTGTGAACAAGTGTAAAACAATGTTATTGGTGTGCTTAGAAAGAGAAGTTACGAAGTGAAGCCTGGGCAGAAATGTCAGCACAGGCTTCAAAGGGGAAGTGAGGTGTAAGCTGAGTTTCCACAAATGAGTAGTTAATTTTCAGGTAGGCACAGCAGGAGGGAATGAACAATCTTGACAGAGAAAACAGCTTGAGTAAAGATATGGGGTTGTGAATCAGCACAGTAATTCTAGGTGCTGTTAAGTACTTTCAGGGTGTAGAAAGCCTCAAGAAAAGAAGATAGAGCAAAAGGCAAGTAATCAATCTCTTGGATAGCTTCAGATGCTGACCATAGTATCTGGTATTTATCCTGTAGGCAGTAGTGGTCATTGAATGGTGATAATCAGGGGAATGACATAATCAGATATAAATTTTGGAAAGATTTGCGTTTCATTAGTTCAGTAAATAAATTGGAGTTCAGTAAATAAATATGGCCTATAAGGAGATGATAGCAATTGTGTGAGTTTTTCCATTCATTGTTGTGTTCATTTATTCATAAACTTATTCTGTGAATGTCTGTTGACTATCTACTATATGCTGTGGATCATAGTAGAAAGATGAGAGATGACTTCCTAAGGAACTAAGGCAGTAACTATGGAGATGAGAAGGAGGAGTTCAACCAAAGAAATGTTAAGGAGATAAAATTTGCAGATTGTTTTCACCAGTCTGACATGTGGTATGAGGAAGATGATTCTGACTTGGTTGATTTGAGGAATGGAAGAGTGAAGGGCACTTATTCTGGTGGATATAATGGGTTCAGATTTGAATATGTTGGGTTTTAGATGTTTGTGAGTCATTCAGGTGGAGATTGTAAGTGGTGGGAACATAGCAGTGAACGAGGCACAGTCTATTTCCAACCATGTTGGATCAGCAACCAGAACTATTTCTGGCACATAGAGAACACTCAATAAAATATTTTTGAAGGAATGGATTCATTTATAAATCTGGAGTTTAATCTAAATATCTAACCAGATATTTAGCTTTGAAAGCCTCTGTCAGTTTTGTGGTAATTAAAGCAATGAGTAGAAAAAAATGAGATAGTCCAAAGAATATATAGAGTGAGTGAGGGCACAGTGGAGGCAAGAGACTGAGGAACACCAACACCAAGCAGTGGATGAAAAAGTAAGAACCAATGGAAGAACCTGGGAGAAGCTTGACAGCAACCCAAAGGCCAAGGGAAAATCCAGGGGATCTTCTTTTCATGAAAGTAAAGGAAGATGCATATGGAAAAAAGGTTATGGCCTGCAGTTTCCAGTGCTTCAGAAAGAACTAGAAGAGTTAGGTAAGATTTCATTGGATTTCTTATGAAGGAAGCCACTGATGGCCTTTGCTGCTGCAGCTTCAGTGGGGTGCTAAGGGTCATAAATATGATTCAA